CCTCACGCCGAGGCCCACGAGTTCTGGAAGCACCAGGAGAAGCTGCACTGCCTGAGCCTCCTCTACCTCTTCTCCGTCTGCCACATCCTGCTGCTGGTGCACCCCACCTGCTCCTTCGACATCACCTACGACCGCGTCTTCAGGGCGCTGGACGGGCTGCGGCAGAAGGTCCTGCCCTCCCTGAAGGCTGCCATCAAAGACTGCCCGGTCGGCAAGGAGTGGAAGCTCAACTGCAGGCCGTGCCCTCCACGCCTCCTCTTCCTCTTCCAGCTCAACGGGGCCCTGAAGGTGGATCCGCCCCCAGGCAGGGGCCCGGACCCCTGCGGTCACCTGGAAAAGCCACCCCCCAAGAAGCACTCCCCCAAGAGGAGGTTGCAGCATGCTCTGGAGGATCAGATCTACCGCATCTTCCGCAAGAGCAGGGTGCTCACCAACCAGAGCATCAACTGCCTGTTCACTGTGCCTGCTAACCAGGCTTTCGTCTACATCGTGGCTGGTGGGGCCCAGGACGGAGACGATCCGGTGGCCATGCTTCTTGACCAACTGAGGAGCAACTGCACCATGAGAGAGACAGACTCGCTGCTGGCTCCCACCTTGTCGGGACCCAGGAGGTATCAGATGATGCGGCATGGCAGGGGGGGGGCGGCTCTCCTCCAGCCAACAAAGGAGCTCCTCCGGACAGCTCGTAGACTGCACCCTCAAGGAGTTTTTGTGGCAGCACGTGGAGCTGGTGCTCAGCAAGAAGGGCTTCGATGACAGCGTGGGGAGGAACCCGCAGCCCTCTCACTTCGAGCTCCCGACCTACCAGAAGTGGGTTGCTGCAGCTTTAAAACTGTATGAAGTGACCATTGAAGCCAAAGATGATGACCCGACCTCTCCCACTGGGGAACTGAGCTCAAAAATCATGAGCAGCATCAAAGTCTTGGAAGGCTATTTAGATATAGACACCAAGTTCTCCGAAAACCGTTGCCAGAAAGCCCTCCCCATGGCCCACAGCGCCTATCAGTCCAACCTGCCCCACAATTACACCATGACGGTCCACAAGAACCAACTGGCGCAGGCCTTGCGTGTGTACAGTCAGCACGCCCGCGGCCCGGCCTTTCATAAGTACGCCATGCAGCTTAACGAGGACTGTTACAAGTTCTGGAGCAACGGGCATCAGCTTTGCGAAGAGCGAAGTTTAACTGACCAGCACTGCGTGCATAAGTTTCATCTGCTCCCAAAAGCAGGTAAAGAAGCTCACTTGTAATGGGGTTGCACGGTTTAATTTTGTACCTGCTTTAAAATGTCTCGTCTTAGGCTGAAAACGCCGACTCTTGCATGTTTATGGAAGATGAAAGCTCAGCAGCTTTAAAGCTTCATCTTTGTACAGTGGGATTAATTATAGCGGAGCTATGGTGCGGGTTTCCTTTATGTTGAGTGATGTTTAGGAGCAAGTGCACTGTTGGTAGTAACTTTGATTCCATCTTGCTAATTAGAGATATTACACTGGAGTCCTTCTAACAAGAGATGTGTAAGAGAACAAAACTTCTCTAGGAAGCATAAGTGCCCCCCCCCCCCCCTTTTTTTTTTTAAATGTCTTGATTGATGTCAGTCAAGGAATAGAAACTGAGAAGCATTTATTGCAGGCAGAACTATTTATGCCTTTTAGGAAGAGGTTGTAAAACCAAAGAAGATTCAGTTCAGTGGAATAACCTACACTGGAACTTTGTATTAAAGGTGGGAAAGGGGGGGAGTTGCTGGACAAACTGGCGTTGCTGGCAAATAGTTTTGCATATGTATATAGCAAGGAGGAAGCAGTGGATGAAGGGAATTAAAGAATCTCTAGAAATGGTGAGCAATTTCTCTGGGGTTTGATTGGTTTTGCTTTCAGGGGAAAAGCCAGAAGCAGACAGAAATCCTCCAATTCTGTACCACAACAGCCGGGCTCGTTCCACTGGTGCCTGTAACTGTGGAAGGAAACAAGCTCCTCGGGATGACCCCTTTGACATCAAAGCAGCTAATTATGATTTCTACCAGGTAACTATTAGGTCTCCGTTTTTGCTTCAAGCAGTGCTTTTGCTTCATCAACAAAATCTGTGTTCTGAAGTGACCACAAGTAAGTTAACCTTATCAACTTGTAAATGTTGCTTGGGGAAGAGATTTCTGGGAGGAGAAATTGTTTGCACGATGGGCAGAGTGGGCGGTTCCAGTCTTCACCGGTGCACGCACACAGCAGCATCTATTTCCACTTCGGGTTTGTTGGTCCATGTGAATTTTAAATCCGTCGCGTCTGCAGGCTGTATTCCCATTGCCGCTTTCGTTGTCACGTAGCGCAAGCCTCTCGAATCTTAATTGTAGTTGCTGAATGTTATGACTCTGAACTCCCTTATCTCAGAGGTGGAAGATGGAAAGTTAACCATGTTTTCTTTCTCGTAGCTGCTGGAAGAAAAATGTTGTGGGAAACTGGAGCACATCAACTTTCCCATCTTTCAGCCAAGCACACCTGATCCGGCACCTGCTCGGGATGAGTCGTCGCCTGCCCCTCCAGAAGGCGAGATTGAGAAACTTAAAGAAAAAGAACCTCAGACTCAGGGAGAAAGCACAGGCCTAAGCTTAGCCCTCAGCCTGGGTCAGTCAACGGGCAGCTTGGGCACTTACCCGCCTGACGCCCAGGGTGGAGCAGACAACGCGGAAAGTCACGGGCAGAGTGGGGACTCCAAAAGCGAGAAAAGGCCGAGCCTGGTAGATCGGCAGGCATCCACTGTCGAGTACCTCCCTGGGATGCTCCATTCTAATTGCCCCAAAGGCCTTTTGCCCAAGTTCTCCAGCTGGTCACTGGTTAAGCTGGGGCCTGCTAAGGCTTATAACTTCCACACAGGTTTAGATCAACAAGGCTTTATCCCGGGAACAAACTATTTAATGCCTTGGGACATCGTCATCAGGACGAGAACTGAAGATGAAGGGGACTTGGATACCAATTCCTGGCCTGCACCGAACAAGGCCGTTCCTGGAAAAAGAAGTGCGGTTGTGATGGGAAGAGGAAGACGGAGAGACGACATAGCTCGAGCCTTTGTCGGATTTGAGTATGAAGACGCACGTGGCAGGAGGTTCATGTGTTCAGGGCCTGATAAGGTCATGAAAGTGATGGGAGGGGGGCCGAAGGAATCCGCCATCAAAGCCCTCAATTCTGACATGCCGCTGTACATCCTGTCCTCGACTCAGGGACGAGGACTCAAGCCACATTACGCTCAGTTCATGCGGCTCTTTGTGGTGGTTCCTGACGCTCCGCTGCAGATCACGTTAACGCCTCAGGTGAGAGATGGAAGAGGGAATCTGGTAACCGCAGAGAAAGGCTCGGTTGTTGCAACGTTAACTGCAGGGCTGGAAGGCGGAAGGGTGGTAGGCAAGGGGCCTCGGAGGGGTGCTACAGGAAACCCTTTCCAACTCAAACCAACTTCAGTCAAGTTCTCTAAGGCAGTGGTCACCAAAAGTATCTGTTTTTATAAACAGTTTGTTTTTTTTTTTTTTTTAAACTTCAAGATTGGCTTATGCCAGCTTTAGACTTTGTATGAAGTAAGTTTTAAAAAATACTTTATCAAGAATGAATTAATAGCATTCCATATGGTAATAATTGCTTCTTTTTTAAAAGGTAACAAGTGAGTAGTGACTGGGTAAGAATGAATTTATCATTTTAAATGTCATAGAGAAAAGCAGTGACTCATTGCTGAGATGAATTATTTTTAGTTACCCTTTGAATTTAGGGAGTGAAAAGGAGTTGTTTTTTTAATTGGAGATCCCCCCCCGTTTTCAAATGTGTATTCAAAAAATATAGAAAAAGTTCCATTTATACTTTCTTACTTTTTAAGGTAGTAAAATACGAGCAAGTGTTTCTTCCTTCAGTTACTGCTATATGAAATACTGTGTGTACATCAGTGCTTATTCTGTTAGTCTGTGGCAAGAAAATTGGTGTTTGTCGTATAGTAGTGTCACTGAGTAACAACAGTCGGCACAAAAACGCATCTGTATGGGGTGGGGGAGGCAGATTTGGGACATTTTGTAACCCTCTGAGCTGTTTGAGATGTGCCATGAGATCCTTAATACCCGATCACAGGACAGTGGAGTTGGCTGCTTTTATGGGCCACCTTCAGCTACCCAGATATGAACCTGCTTTGTCTTAGAAGTTAAAGGAAGAATACTGCCTAAAACCTGATACCAACACCAAAATTTCAATGCGGTTTGCAGTTTTTTGTGTTATGGTTTGACACTGAGGCAGGAATTGAAGGTTCAGTTTGTGCTGATACTTGCATTGCTCTTCATTCCCAGCTTACATCTGTATCGCAGCTTTTGACTCCTAAGGCTGTGTTTTTATTTGGCAAATCCGTTATGCTTTGTGTTGTGGGTTCCTGCATCAGTTCCTCATGTGAATAAGACTTTCTGAATCTTTTCATATGAATTATACAAGAGCCATATTAAAAAGTTGCTGAAATCCTTGAACATTCACATTGGTTTGGAGTGAGGTAGCAGCTTGGGGATATCTGTGCTACAGCGTTGAAATCCGCTGTGAACACAGCGTTTTCTACTGCCCGAGAGGCGAATGGCTTGTGTTTGCATTGTGGATCTCCTTGGCAGGACCTAATCTGCAGCCCTAAATTCAGCATCTTCACTGTGATAAAACCGGAGATTTATGGATGTCTCACAATAATGGCACAGGGGTTTCCTGGAGTGTGCTCAAGTGGATACGAACCTGGCTGTAGGCAAGACTTAAGAGACTTCCTTGGATTCAGTTTGCTCTTAAGTTTGTTTGTTTTTTTTTTTTTAATTCTAATGATTATCTACTCGTATTTCCTTTTGATTTCAGGTTCAACCAGGGCCACCACCGTGTCCTGTATTTTACCCCGAGAAGCAGGAAATAACCCTTCCATCTGATGGACTGTGGGTGCTTAGATTTCCTTACGCATACGTGACAGAACGTGGACCCTGCTTCCCTCCCAAGGAAAGCCAACAATTAATGAGTTACAAAGTTCTCCGAGGAATACTGAAAACGAATACGCAATAAGAATTATTCTGGTAGACTGATTTGAGTTTAAAAAGACTATCTTCAATCCAAATCATGGATTTTGATTCATGTCTGTTACCCAACAGCTATCCCTGTGATCTAGTGAAGCCCACCATGTTTCACTGGAACACAGTCAGATTGAAAATAAGGTGTGATATCAACGTGGGGAAAGGAATCTGAGACATGTAAAATTTCCATTTATTAAATTTTCATATGTAAAAAATAAAAGCTGGTTATTACAATATACTGAGCCTGTATTACTAGATGGTTCGATGATAATGCTTTTCCCCATCGTGTCTTTCTATGTACTTATTTAGGAATATTTAAAAATTAGCATTGCCTGAAATCAAGCATTTCCTTTGTCATATTGAGGCAATGATGGGCAGAATTTTTTCTCTTTTTCTAAACAAGCTATTTGTATGTAAACAAGATGCTTTTAATGTGATGTGAGAAAGCATTTGATTTGATCTTGTCTTTAAAAAAAAAAAGCATTGCACTTCTGATTTGTATTAACACCATAGCCAGAAACTGTGCTTACCTATATGAAGTTGAAATATTTTACTGTATTTGTATGCATAGATCAGGTTTTGTTAAAAGGCCAACTTAATTTCATGTTTTGCAATGACAGATGTCTTTGGAAACTAAACCTGCTGGTCAATTTGTGGAAAATGTAGAGCTGTATAAGCTTGTGCGTGATGAGCAAGTGCAGCTTAATTGTCAGTATGGCTTGACCTGTAGTGATTAAACAGACTTTTGGTTGCTAAAAGGATGGTTTTGGCCCCATTTAAATCTCCAATTGAAGGAGTTTGGGTAATTACGCTACACTTTCCAAAAGATGCTGCAAGAAGTACTGAAAGGTAGTTTAAATCCTTTACTGTTAGTCACAGTAAATCAACTTTTTTCGTCGAGGTAAGATGTATTAGCGATAGTGGCTGTATGCTGAGACCTAATTTAATTTCTAGAATATTTGTTTCTAATTAGCATGCATGCAAAATTTAATTTGCCAATTTGTTATCATACAGTAATTATACCGCATGACCAGAGTCAAGACCTGGTTTCTGTTCAGCACACATCTCTGATCAGCTGGGTGCGGAAAACACCTCCCTCTGTCTGTGAAGAAGATATCTCCCTCTGCACGCCGTAATGAATTTAGATTTACCAAGCACTTAGCGATTCCCGAGCGCCATCAATAAAATTAAAAGCGCTGCAGAGAAGAGTTGTCTCTCCGAGATGCGGCCGCGCTACCGGCAGCGGGGAAAGCAAGATGGGAAATTAAAACGTGCCATTGGAAATCGCTCACAGCATTTGTTAACGACTTAAAAAAAAAACAACCAAAAAAAAAACCAGAGTGGAGGTGTGAGGGCCCGGCCGAGGCATGAGGCGGAGCC